AAACGAACGACAAACAAACAGATTTAAACTAATCTGGTAAGTACATATATGCCGCTTTTGTGCAATAAAACAAACTAAATCCGGGCAGTTTTGAACCGTACTGAAATAAAACAAGTTCGATTTCATCTGACAGATAGAACAATTTTCAATTGGGAGACAACAGTGATCCGGGATTCCTTTGTTTTTGCTGACCTCGCTCTGTGATTGGTTCAGAAAACTCGCGCCATCCTCTTGACAAATGAGACGCAAAACGAATGCCAATCGCGGCTAGGTCTCCCGGGTTTTCCCGCGCTTTTAGTAGGTTGCCTGATTTTATTATGAGTTTTTTTTTTATTTATTATTATGTCATTGGCTAGCCATGTTCTTCTTTGTTATGATCGGACATAGCAAGATATAATAAACTGTTAATAATCTCTTAGCCAGAGTGATCACTTTGGTTTTGGTTTTTCAATATATCTTTTTAGTTAATGAGCTTTAAGTCAAATGAACTCAAATACCTCACTGATGGCTTGACGGAAGCAGTAGAAGTTGTAGTCTATCAAACCTACGACAAATATATAGACATGTTGGAGATGAAAAGAACAGGTCATAATCAATAGCGATCCAATACGCGCGTTTCTTGCCCTCGGAAAGATTGGAGACGAGAGGGGAGAAGTTTGTCGTGGTCTAGCATCAATAATAGTCGATACTGGACCCCTCGCATACGTCTCGCTGATGTGTGATTTTAAAGCTTCATACTTTCCAGCATGAGAAGAAACACTCATGCCCACCCGGAAAATAATGAAGGCCTACTTGCTGGCTAGAGAAATCATAGCGACAGGGTTAAAACTCTGTAGTCAGTGCTTTTTGGAAAGCCAAATGCAAAAAGAGCCAGGCGCAGCTGACTGACATCTTGTTTACAGCATCACAGCAGGTCGCGCAAGCATGGGACAAGCAACTTGATATAAAATCACAGCGAAAAAAAATGTATTTTGATAAACTTCCTGGTCACGTTCGCGTTTATTTATTGAAATACCATAACGCGTATGTTAAACCCTTTGCCACCTTAGAGGTCAGGAGAATAAAAGAAGTGACCATCGGCTAAAGAAGCCCTTGATTGTTAAACAAATTCTCCTTGTGAGCACCCAAGGAAATGTATAGAGAA